AATTTGCTTTCGACTGGCAGATATTCTGGGTCAAACAAGTCAAAGCAACCCAAATTCCCGCTTTAAATAGCGGTAACATTGGCTTTCTTGTTGGTGCTAACCTTAACAATTGCACTATTAAGACTGTTGATGAACCAAAACCGAACACTGTCATAGTTTGACATGTTGCAGGCTATGGTCTTGTCAAAGGCCAAGGTCGAATATCGTCACTTTCTGTTGTGACGTCACTTGAATTGTACGATGACGTAATTGCATTCGGGCAGTCAAGCCCGTCAGAAGTTGATTTTGGTAAACTTACAGTCAAATTCCTTTTTCTTTTCAACACAAATTCCATGTATTTTAGCAATAATAACGGTAATGCTATTTTTGAGGGCATTATCATTTGCAGAAGCCCTCGGGCTTTTTCAACTTCCCTCCTTCGTCGGGCAGTTAATGGAAGACCTCGGGCTTCTGCAAATGATAATGCCCTCAAAAATAGCATTACCCTTATATTGTAACCCAATTGTGTAGACCGATGCTCATACTGTTGATCACTGTATTGTCTGGTCCAGTCTCGATTAATTACACATATAGCTGGAATATTGCCGAGTGCGGCATAAAACAACCAACCAACCAACTGTGGACTGTAAAACCACTTGCTCACACTTGCATACGCCTCTCAATCCATATTCTGTTTATCACTTGCTTCATAACGGTGCTTGAACCTACACCGAGACCTAATGAAGGTGTTGTCTACTCCTATTGTAACGAAGGAATTGCTCCTCCACATATTGGGATCCTTCCTTGACGTTTTGTTAAACTTTCTATGTTTTCTCTTGACGAAATAAAGAAAACCCAAATCTTTACAAAATAATGACAGTTTTATAAAATGGTGAATATTTTTGCTGTCTAGACCCAGAAAGACCTGCTATATTTTGTTTTTCGAATACAACCCATCAATCTGATTTTATGATTCATCAGCTTGATCGAAAACATGCCGACCTGTTTGGGCCCGAGGCGACACAAGGTTGACGTAACATATTCTTCCGCAAACAAAGGATGAACGTACGAGGATGACGTATTTTTCTAGATTCCCGGATGCCTATCTTTGTCCCGCTATTGTTGTTGAATTCAGACTGGCGTGAGAACATACAGAGCCAATTGTTCGCAATACCGTGTTTTGAATTAAAGAAACACATTTTGAACATATGTCGTATTTACGCTCTGAGAGAGGCATCATATCGCCAGCAAAGTTAGCTATCCAATCCGCGATTGCGTAAACCGATGCTCATGATATCAATCACTGGATTGTCTGGTCGAGACTCGATTATTTACAGACCACCATCATATCGCTGGAATATTGCTGAGCGCGGCGTTACACAATAAACAATGCTCAATCACTGAATTGCCTGGACCATATGAGGTTATTTTCAGGTCGATAAAGATAAAGATTAAATATTGCTGGGTTCAGCCTAAAACAACACTGAAACGAAACGTTAACAATGACACAAAACAACGACAAAATCACACATTGGAACATTGGCTCTGACAAACATCACTCTAAACAGTGTCCGTTTCCAGTAGATGTCTGGTTGGGTGGCTTTGTGGTTAAAGTGTTCGCTCGGTTCGATTCCCCACACGGGAAAAGCTAGTTTGTCTCACAGTCCCTGAACCACATTAATTTCCCTACTGCCAAGCCCTCTCCGCAGTGCTAAAGCCCTAAATAAAGCAAGTCTAGATTTCCTCAGGTTCTGAATCTCTGGTCTCCCTAGGGCTCCTTTTCAATATAAATGGGCTTGTTTGTTACTATCAAAATTATATATATTCAGAGACTAAGCCTTAGTCTAGGGAAAGCCATGTGTGGCGCCTATTTCTGGCGTGACCCGTCGCGATATTAATAATGGTTGGTTGGTTGTTTAACGCCGCACTTAGAGTCTGGGCCAGACTTGTTTAGAAGACAGGTAGAATTTAAATCACAGCAACGGAAGCAACATGATGATATAACGTTCCAAATATATCCTGCAACTGACCTTACGTCCACCACTTCTGACAGGCATGATGGCAGGTAGCTTGTGGAAGCAACGCCTAATAAGAAAGAGGTCTAATATTATACTCTCCCGGTGAAGAACCTATTTGTTTGTTTGTTTGTTTGTTTATAAGAGTTGGTTGGTTGGTGATGAACGCCACACTCAGCAATATTCCAGCTATATGTCGGCGGTCTGGAAATTATCGAGCCTGGACCAGACAATCCAGTGATCAACAGCATGAGCATGATCGTAATGAAATATTGGCGCCTTGATGTGAATGCAGTGGACGCAAACAAATAACAGGATATTTACTCGCAGAGAGATTTTGAAACAAAAACATCTTTAACTGAATTTTGGCAAATAATCGTAGAGTGTATACGAGTGAGTGAGTGAGTTTAGTTTTACGCCGCACTCAGCAATATTCCAGCTATATGGCGGCGGTCTGTAAATAATCGAGTCTGGACCAGACAATCCAGTGATCAACAGCATGAGCATCGATCTGCGCAATTGGGAACCGATGGCATGTGTCAACCAAGTCAGCGATCCTGACCACCCGATCCCGTTAGTCGCCTCTTACGACAAGATAGTCGCCTTTTTATGGCAAGCACATGGGTTGCTGAAGACCTATTCTAACCCGGATCTTCACGGGTCAGAGTGTATACGAACCTCAAAGTTAACTGGAAAACGTATTACAGTAATATCTTACGGACATGGCTGTATGTAGATGTCTGGCATCTGACCTTGAATAGAGAGTATCGATTATATCCGATTGGTGTAGTACCACTCAAAGTGATCACAAAACCACGTTCACCACTTCTCTAATCTCCTAGATCATCATATATAGGTGAAATCAAGTTCAGAAAGTTCAGACAGGGTTATGGTAGAGCTGTTACTTAACAGTAGTTCAGTAATATCACGGCCTGTTTGCTTGATGTGGTAGGAGAGCCAGAGATGTTGCGGGTCTTTAGCGTTTACTGCTTTGGTAAAACCCACGAGCTCGGACCTGAGAGTGAGTGAGTTTAGTTTTACGCCGCTTTTACAATATCCCAGCAATATCACGGCGGAGGACACCAGAAATGGGCTTCACGCATTGTGAAGTGCCCATGTGGGAAATCGAACCCGGGTCTTCGGCGCGACGACCGAACGCCTTAACCACTAGGCTACCTCACCGTCCCAACGATGCTGAGTAACCTTGAAACGAAATCAGGGGGCATCTGAGATTCCTCTACACCAGTTTCGTGAAGATCCGGGTTAGAACTGATCTTCAGCAGCCCATGCATGCTTGTCCTAAGAGGCGACTAACGGGATCGGGTGGTTAGGCTTTACTGACTAGGTTGACACATGTAATCATAAGCCTATTGCGTAGATCGATGCCCATGTTGTTGATCACTGGATTGTCTGGTCCAGACTCGATTATTTACAGACTGCCAAACTATAGTTGGAATATTGCGACGTTAAATAATAAACAAATCAGACACACCGCAGGTTTCAGGTACACCTAACGTGGAGGTTACTAGGCCTCAGGCATACAGAAATAGAAAACACACATAATATCTTTTACAATATTTTAGTGCAGAGAGTAGAAAAAATCCAAAGGTACGCAAGTCGTATACGTTTATCATTTTGGTGAAAAACCTCAAGTATGGTTCCATGTTAACAACCCCGCATCACAACAGCTGAATGACGCAGTTGAACACAGCGAATCGAAACGATTTAATACCTATATATACATATATGCAAGTCAAAACAAAATCGGAGACTCAGAGTGAGCGAGTGGCAAGGGTTACCCTTCCTCTTTGAACAACAATTCAAACAATTCATACTGAAACAAGGTGTTAGCTAAAACGTAGGAGAACCAGAGGAGACGAAGTCATATATAGGTTCCCAGGGGCGGAAACAGCTTTTTGAGAAAGGGGGGTGAACACTATTGAGAAAAGGAGGGGTGCACACTTCATTTTCAGCCGAGTTTCAATGGTCATTTAATAAACTTTCAGGACAAAAGGGGGGTGCGCACCCCTGCACCCCTCCCCCCCTCTGGATCCGCCTATGGTTCCGCAATGATCAGTACATCCTGGCTCATGTTAAAGGGAAATATCTTTCTGTTTTACTCTCTCAGTGCACACTTCGGTTGTTTCGGGAAGGAGACAACATACTGAAATACAAGTATTATACAATTTAAGAACTAACATTCACTGGGAAAATGAGATTAAAACAAATCAATAAAGGAATGCACAATGTCATTCAGAAAGTAATCAAATATGGCAAATGTCATAGGTGGATGAGTGGGTTAGACTGCTGGCGATTAGGTGCCTGAGAGTGTGGGTTCGAATCCCGGATGAGACCCAACCTAACAAATGTAACAACATGTACTTTTCCTGAGGAAATGTAATCCCACTCCCCCCAAACGTTTAAATGTTATCTTTTATAGCAAGTCGAAAGTCGATATGCGTCAGGAAGATATCGCTTATAAAATATGTGAAACTTCACAGGGTATTTTCGTCTTTCTTCCCATCGAGACAATTGAAGATCCGGGTTAGAATTGATCTTCAGTAACCCATGCTTGTCGTAAGAGGCGACTAACGGGATTTGGTGGTCAGGCTTGTTGACTTGGTTAACACATGTCATCGTATCCCAGCTGCGTAGACTGATGCTCATGATGTTGATCATTGGATTGTCTGGTCCAGACTCAGTGATTTACAGACCGCCGCCATATAGCTGGAATATTGCTGAGTGCGGCGTAAAACTATACTCACCTACTCACTCTTCCGATCGAATGAACAAATACAAAACCTGCCTACTATTATTCTAAAATGTTGTGAAACAGATATTTGTTGAAGTTAGGCAGGGTACAGCCCGGGAACCCCATCCTAGCCATTCTGCGAATACCAGGGTCTCACACAGTACCAACCCGACGTGAGCACACGAGTTTCCGTCCTCGCCAAAGATGGTTCACTGGCCGCGGCATTGAGAGAGTCGTTCAGGAGTTATGTCCCTTGGTTATAGGAAAACCCCAGAATTCATTTAACTTTGTTGACAAAAATCGATGTGAAACCGAAATAATTTTGATAACTAATCACCATGTCAACAGTCCATACTTGACCATACAGTCTTGACATTGACAAGGAAGAGAGAAGATTATAGGGTAATGTAAACTGGAAAGACCCGAAACAAATCGTTACCAGGAAGTTGTATACAGCCTTTTAACGCGGAAGAAGACCAAGAGTAAAAGCAGACATGTCGATTTGCACAGAAAACAACATCTTCGGCTTTTTCTTCGTCGTCAACGGAGCCATTAATTCTTTATCACAAGGGTAAGGTTTAGATATGTGTCGTGTTCATGTATGCATTGCGCTGGTAAGTTAGTTTTGTGTACTTTAGCCTGTGTTATAGAGCAACACTGCACTGTGCCCAATCGTTTGTTTGAACAATGTCTGAATGTCTGAAATTTACGATCTGCCGAAAAAGGTTTAAAAAGCGTGTTTCAAGAATGCTAAAAACCTATCGAAATTCTTGACAATATGCCACTTCAATTCCATTCTTGTGAATTAAGTACATTTGATAATTAACATTTTTAACAAAGCAGACAATTCTAACAGGAAGCAAAACCACAAGTTTGAAAATAATGCTGTACCTTTGGACTTTCATGAGTTTGTGACAGGCATTGAGCAATTGTGGGATGACTGTGTTCAAGATAGTCATGTCATATTTCCACAGTAAAGAGGGGGGACCTAGGTAGCCTAGTGGTTAAAGCGTTCGCTCGTCACACCGAAATCCCGGGTTCGAGTTCCCACGTGGGTACAATGTGTGAAGCCCATATCTGGTGTCCCCCACCGTGATGTCGTCGCTGGAATATTGCTAAAAGCGGCTTAAAATCGGCTTAAAATCATACTCACTCACTCGACAGTGCAGAACACAAGCAGCTTTAGGTGATAACATCATGTGAACAGGTGATAACATCTAGTAAGTTCTTGAAAAAAAGAACCATGTCTCTGATGGTTCACCACATATCACCTTCATTTGTGGCTCAGCTTGCTATTTCTTACTTCAAGAATGAGTGAGTGAGCCTGGTTGAACGGAACTTCCAGTAATATACCAGCATAATCGTGTCACGAGACATTGGTTCCACAGATTGTAAACTTATGGAACTGAACCCAGGCCTTCAGTTTGACAAGCAAACACTTTAGCCACAGGACTACCCAAACATCCCATATTTCAAGAACTTAACCGAGCCATATAAGTGGGACTGATCATTGCTGGTACTTATCTCAAGAGAGTATTAGCAAGATTACGGTAATATCCAGACAACACCACACAACACAACAACACACACAACACAACACAACAGAGCACACTACACAGCACCACACACCACACCACACTGCACAACACTACACCACACCGCACAACACAACACACCACACCACACACCACACCACACCACACCCTCAAAGACAGACACCATACAAACCTCCTGGACCACACCTTCCATTCCACCACACCAAAAGCCTTTACCCTCAAACTCCTCCACCAGACATCCACTCCACTCACCATACGCTCCCTCTGAAATCACCTTCATATTCTGATCTCTTGTTCCAGAGAACGTAATTTATATTCCAAGGTGTAATGTAATTTTCTTACTGATTGTTCCTGCAGTACAAGCATCAATGATGCTAGCTGCTGAGTGCTGCCGCTGTTGCTGCAGGGTTTTGTAAACAGGTCAAGCAACAATGAGTACCAGTACATTAATTTAATAAAACTTAGTTCAGTGTAAGTAACTGACAAAACTGAGCAATTTTGTGTGTTAAATGATCTGCACATAACTGCACTCTGATTTACATAATTTCAGAACTTGTATATATAAAGAAAGTTACAATTTAAATAAAGAATATTAACCTTGCTTATTTGATCTGCAGTCTAGGGGTAGCCTCGTGGATACAGCATTCGCTTGTTACACCGAACATCTGGGTTCAATTCCCATCATGGGTACAATGTGTGAAGCCCATTTCTGGTGTCCCTCACAGTGATATTGGTGAGTGATTGAGTGAGTTTGGTTTTACGCCGCTTTTAGCAATATTCCAGCAACATCATGGCGGGGGGGGGACACCAGAAATGGGCTTCACACATTGTACCAATGTGGGGAATCGAACCCGGGTCTTCGGCGTGACGAGCGAACACTTTAACCACTAGGCTACCCCACCGCCCCAGTGATATTGGTGGAATATTGCTGAAAATGGCATAAAACTAAACTCACTCACTCACTTTCCTCTAAAATGTTGATATAGGTCCAAAAGTAGATATTTTGTAGACATTATTGAAAAATGCTGATATCTGATATAAGATACATGAGGGTATACCTCGCTCAGTAGAGATATAGAATAATATCACCCCAAAATACAGTCAACACCAACTAGGATCAGCATAGATCAGTGTACCTACACAGTATACCCAGTACAACTGGCTACCCACAACTGATGTGCACCCAAATCCACCCCTGTCAATACAATGGAAAACTTGGTCCAGTATTGGCACAATGTTGGATTGATGTGTCATCAGAGATCAGTGTTGCGCAAGAATTACCAATATAATCTTCCAAAATTAAACTTACGTTAAGTGTGATACAGAACAATGATACAGTAGTTTATTCTATTTTGCATTTCGCTTTGAGCAAATGTTTTTACAGAATCTAGCGCTATACAATACTACATTATTATTATTATTTATTACTATTGTATTAGATATGTCCACACAATCACCGGACATCCTTGTTATTGCATCAGTTGATGCTCTGTAGCCACTAGACAGGTCAAGTGTTTCTATTTCTGAATATTTCCTGCATTGTACAGGCATGTGTTAATGTTGTATACTCCCCATGAAAAGTTTAGACTCCCTAGTGTAAATGTAGCCACTTACTTCAGTCAACTGTTCTAAACTAAATTTTGCAAAATATCCCATACTGTTTAAAGGTGCTGTTTATACATGAACTGATGTATTGTAAAACAAATTCATAACGTTGAAAAGATTATTGTCATACGTTCAATAAAAGATGAAACTTGGTTAAAAATGGCGAATTCTTATCAAAACTGTACACCAAAACGCAGCTGTTCACATGCACGATACTTGCACATACTTTTCAGCAGCTTGATGCATGATCCTCGTGCAATTAATCTGCATAAGGTTTGCAGTTGTTTCCCCCAAGTTAGTGGAGAAATTCATCTTCTTTGTAACCATATATACATACATAACATATATTGAATGTTTTAAGTGAGTCTAAACTTTTGATGGGTAGTATATATTGATGTTCTTGCAACAGATGGGCTGAGCATACCAACACAACAGCCTTCACTCAACAGAAGCAGCATGCATTTGCTCATCCGTTCTTCCTGGTGAGTTGGCAATTGTCCAAAGTGTGGAAATTTCCATCATTGGATTTCCTTGTGGAACAATGTCTCCCTCGGAGACCAAGAGAATAAATTAAATAGGAGACTTTCTCAAGGTTGGAATGCCTCAGCCAGAAATTATGGATTATTATCTGCTCCACTTGGGATTTGTTTTGTCAATAAACATATTTTTGATTTTTAAGTAAGCAACTTTATTTCTGGACAATTTCCACAGACTGATCTTAGTACTAGAGTCTTGTAAGCCTGTAGTATGTTAAAGTATCAGAGTTATTATCATCTAAGAAAAAACAGACAGTCTTGGATTATGGTTGATGTAAACTGCAGAACTTAAAATGTCAACCATATTTTCTACAGTTTAACATTAAAATTACCATATGTTCTACACTCATGGCTTTTGGGCAGGTGGAGTGATAAATGACATAAGTATATATGTTAAAAGGAAAGAGTGCCAGGGATTATCCTCGACGGCCAGGTATGGGAGTCATCTCGACTCCCTTTCTGACTTCAAGGGAGTCATATGCAAAAATATGGAGTCCAAATGCCAGGATGTTTCACTTTATGTTACTAGGGAATAAGTTGACTTGGTGCTTCTTGGTGTCAGTTTGTCAAATTGACACAACAGCAACCTTAACCTCAGTATTTTCAACACAAATTGCATCAAATATATGACTGCATCAGTGCCTTGGGGACCCTTGATCCCCACAAGTACCTTTACCCTCCTGCAATGAAGATTTTGCTGTATTTTTTGACATGGTGACAAATCCCAACATATTCCCATCATTGTTGGTGCAGAAGAAGTTGTTAGAGACGCTATATCTCATCTGAGTGTTACCCATCTGATGGGGCACGAATGGCTCAGTCATCTTAGGCTCTTTAAGCTAAGTGCTTTATAGGCATGCTAGAAATCTGCCATCATTGGTTCAAATGCCAGTTCTCTCGAAATGTTTCCAGGTTTGACAAAACCCATGCTCATGGGTTTCACCAAAGTTTAAACACCTGTAACTTGCATCTCTTGGGGCTTAGCTCCACCATCAAACTGACACACCATACTTTAACTGCAGTGGCATTAAACCTAATTCACTCACTCACTCACTCACTCATATGTTTACTCTTGTCATGCAGCAATGTGGCAAGTTCTTCGGTGAACTGTTCTGCCTTCTCCTCTATGGCATCGTCTTCGGTCGTTGTGGGAGCTCCAACACCCCACTAACCTTACCCCCAGACAACGCACAGAACAGACCTGCCCCAGCGGCTCGTCCAACAACGGCACCGACTCGACCCCCGACCAACTTTATCCAGCTGCAAGAACAGGAACCATCAACATGGAACAAGTTTATCTTCGTTCCCTGTGCACTTTGCGACCTGGCCAAGACTGGGATGTTGTATGTTGGACTGAAACTCACATACTCCAGCAGTTATATCATGTTGCGAGGTAAGTCAAAGGGAGGTAATCACCTGGTTATTACAGAGTTGCCTCCCTTGATTGTGCAGGCCACCAGTAACACTGAAACAATATAAGACTTCCATTTGTTGTTCAGTCTTATAAATCTCTCTCTGTAAGAATTGCAGTACAGAGTATTAGATATGTCACATACGCTTCATACAAAATATGTCATTTGGCTTGTAATTAAATATATTTTACATGAAAGAGTTCATAACCTGTACATTACTTGTAGTGACATAGTCAGTTCTAACAACTGGGTGAGGTATTTGGGACCAGTTCCCGATTGGAATTATAACTGTTAAGCATTTAAAGTTGTCAACATTCCATTTGCACAAAAATTGATTTATAATTGTTTGGTTTAATGCCAAACTCAGCAACACTCCAGATACTGAGGTCACAAATTCCCCTAGATATCCCAGCCTGTTCCGCTCACCCCTGTCACATGTTCTGCATCCCTTGCAGGGTCTGTGCTGTTCTTCACCTCGCTGTTGTCCGTGGCGTTCCTGGCCAGGAACCTTCAGACTCAGATGTGGGTGGGGATAGGTGTGTCCATCGTGGGCATGGCAGTCATCGGGATTCGGGACTATATATTTCCACCCAGTTCCAAGTACGATGCATATGGAATAGCTGCAGGTGAGACGGTTATATACAGATATTAGTAAAGATATAAGATCTAAGGATTCCTGGGATATGGAAATGATTCCAAACTAAAATGTCTTGGTAGGAATTAGTGGTGGTCCTACACTAGTAGGAATATTTGGAAAAATCATTATTTTGTTCAAAATTTGGAATTTATTTAATGTTTTCCTAAATTCAGGGTGTTTTAACATCAAATTGTTGCAGTGGAATCAGTGCAAAAATCCTGAACATATCTTAACACTTCCTTCTCTGTCTTCCTGGTGATATCACTGCAATAACAGGAACCCAGTTATGACTTGATTGGTGATTTTAACAGATGAACTGGAAATATTTAGTTCCAATTTGGGATTTTTTCCTGACATTTGCTGCAGACTAAAAGCAGCCTCTCAGTGAGTTAGAATAAGTCCCAGTCTTCCAAATGTGGAATTGAAATTTGAACAAATAACAACTTTCGTATTGTTTCTAATGAATCGATTCAAGGCGATAATGTTGCTTCATGGGGTTAACTTTATGATGGTGGGTAGGATCATGGCATGACTTGGAGTGGTCCATCAAATGGGTTTGAAAACATTCGTGGGATTTTTCTAGGTTTACTTAAATTTTATTGCCCTTGTACATATGCACTTTTGTGCATTTTTGACTTGGTGATGTGGATGATGATGATGATGATGATGATCCAGGTGACCTACTGATTGTGATGGCCCAGATCATGACAGCAACCAAAGTCGTCTTAGAGCAAAAGTTCGTCACCAAGCACAACATCCATCCCTTGTTGGCTGTGGGACTGGAAGGTGAGTTTCCTTACCCAGGCAGTCACCTTTCTTGTTTAATATGGGGCATTGGGGGTAGCCTAGTGGTTAAAGCTTTCACTCGTCACGCCGAAGATCTGGGTTCAATTCTCCACATGGGTACAATGTGTGCAGCCCATTTCTGGTGTTCCCCGCCGTGATATTGCTGGAATATTGCTAAAAGCGGCATAAAACTAAACTCATTCACTACTCATTAATATACAGCCATGATACAAGGTTAGTAATACATGTACATATTAATAATATTATGCAAGAAGTGAATGCTGAGACATCAAGTGGCCGGGTCCCACTTAAACCTTTTTTCAACAAATCAGACTGCATGACATACTTTTATTTCCAGGATTGTTTGGGTTCCTTATCACGGTCATCCTACTGATCCCATTCTACTTCGTCAAGGCTGGAGCCTTCAGCGTCCTTCCTGAAAACAGACTGGAAGATCCCAAAGATGCATTCATGCAGATCAAGAGCACCTGGCAAATTGCACTGGCCTTCATTGGTGGGTACACTGATTTACTGAGAGAAACAAATAAAGGATCACAGGAAAATTCAAGCGTTCCTTTTAAATATTATTTTCCAGTTTTCATCACCAGAGCGCTATTCAAAGCTGGTGATAAAAACTAGAAAATATTAAAGGAACGCTGGCATTTTCCTGTGATCCTTTATTCGTTTCTCTCAGTATATTTCATCTCATCAAATGTTGTTGCTTGTTGAAACAAAAATAGAGAAATATTTCATTTGTGTTCAATTGAACAAATTGCCTCAATGATAAAAAAATTCAAAAATATTTAGTCATATTTACTTTATATATACATGTTTATATTTATTATTATTTTTTTCAATATTTGTCACATATTGGTGAAAAACAAGAAACTATCTGTTGAAATAGAAGCTGAAACAAACATAGTAGGGTTAGAAACCAAGCATAATGCAATATATATGGCTGGCCTCATTAGAATATTAAAAATATAATGTAAGTTATTATATCAGGGCGGACCAATTTAAGTTCTTATTATAAAAGTTTGTTGTGTATTATTTTAACCAGGTATGCCAAAGAGGACATTAAAAAGAACCATGTACCTGCTTTTTATGGCAGACTTATTCACCAATGTTGGATAACCTGTACCAACCTAAACCTATTCAACTTGTTGAATGACCCACAAAATTGTATTTATACGCCATTACAATTTTATTATTATTTTGGACTCCGTGCACCCATCCGTGCAAATTTGTCTTTTCTTGAGCAGAACATAAAAAACATTCAATATTTCTTCACCAAGCTTGGCACATAGATAGGTCTGGTGGTGAACTGGTGCCTTTTGGTAGTTTTGGATTTCTGAGTAAAATATGTTTTTGCGTTGCCATGGCAACAATTTAACTTTGACTGAAATGGGTGGTGGTGCTCCTTTCCGGAGCAGAACTTTAAAACCTTTCAATACTCAATACACTTTTATTCAAGAACCTAGTGACATCAGTCAACAGTACCGCTCTATTTGCAGCATCAACATTACTGAGGTACATTCAACTGTAGAAGCACTCAGGCAGTCGATTGTTGATACAAACGACTAGTACATGTATATGAATAGTTTACATATATATGTTTTGATGAGATCAATGTGAAGAACAACGTACCATTTGACTTAGTCACAACTAGCTGACATATATTGGTAGTCTGGGGGATAACACTGAAATATGAGGAAAAATCACAATTATCCATAACATAGCCAGTGAAACATGAATTGAATATTTGAACTGTTTTATGAATGATTGCTATGAAAGTGTATTAAAAAAGTGACAGACATGTATGCAAGAATAGTGCTGTGAATAGATGTTAATTAATATGTATTATTATGCTTTTGATGTGTTTACTGCATGGAAATATAATAAATCGAAATATAATAATTCAATTTTGAACATTGTGCGTTAATACCAACTTTTAGATCTTCCTGAATGTAGCTTCGTTGTGTAGCTCTACCTGAATGTAAGTTGGTTGTGAAGCCTTACCTGAGTGTAGCTTGTTACAAATGTAAGAAATGTTACATGAAATGTGTATAGGTCCTTCAGATTTGTGTAAGGATCATCTAGGTTTATGTACAGGTCTTCCAAGTTTAGGGCAAGACAGTCAAATAATGTTTGAATGCCCCAAATCAGGTAAGGATTGGACAGGAATTTCATAGTAAAATTATACGAGACCGCTCTGATAAATAGATGTAGCTCGCTTTACTTAAAAAAATAGGTTGGAAACTAACAGCTTTTGTGATTTGCTAGACTATTTTGATGGACCAATCAGCGAGCGCTTACGTTGCCGGTAAGGTAATGCTATGAAAAGGCGCGAAAAATATGTATCGCGATACGTATCGTATCGTGACCTTAAAATCGTGATACGTATCGTATCGTGAGATTGGTGTATCGTGACACCCCTATAGTGTATATTCCTAATGCAGGATATTAACCATCCCAAAACACACAAGTGTGATAACCTATTTATCATACAATGTCATTTTTGCTTTATAATTTAAAAAAATGCGATTTCAAATGCCACAAATCATGAAACTAAACTTCGTGGAATGTCTATGACGTCACAAATATGTGCGGAGTAATACGTTACGTCCCAAGCCCGGTGACATAACTTTCTCCTGATCACTCAGCGGTCATCTAGTTCCAAGTAAGCTTTTATGCTAAAGCACGTATTGTTGTCAACAAATCTTAGCTTACGTTTGAAAAATAACAACAAACTCACGTGGAACTTCAGAAACCTTCAATTAACCTTTTGAACAACCAAATACGCTTTAATGTTAGCGTGACACTGTGCACCGCTAACACTGACAGTCGGTCGGGGAACTGATGTTGGTATCTTCGTAAGCCTATGAATTTCTATCTTCGCTTTGTAATCTACTACATCTATCATAACCAGGCATGAATGTTCTGGGATCAAAGCACTGACAGTACCGTAACCACGACCGTCAATCCGGACACGACCGCTGACCCTTGATGCCATGTTTGTTTACACTGTGAAAGTAGTCACTGAAATTTGCATATGACCTCTCTAATTTGCATCGATATCCGTAAATGACCCCAACGGATACCGAAAATATCCATTGGCTTTATCCTGCCGAGAACACTATCCATTGTATGATAAAAGGAAATCTTATGTTTTTAAGTCTTTCATTCTTTGATTTTCAGGATGTGTAGTGAGTGTTGCCTTCTACTTCTACTTTGGAATCGACTTTGCCAAGAAACATGGTGCTATAGCCAGGATGGTGCTGGATGGCTTTGCATCATTGATATCGTGGGCAGTGTTTCTGGGAGTAGGCTGGCAGAAGTGGCACCCGCTGCAGATACTGGGGTTCATCCTGGTTGTGGTGGGAATCTTACTGTACAGTGACTACGTCTTCATGCCGGCATTCAACATGCTGCGGAGGAGATATTTCCCCACGTACATCCGCGACACCAGTATCCCCATCCCTCGACCTGAAGACATGCGGCCCCTGCTCCTGGAGGACTCTCCAGGTTAGAGATGAGGGTCACACAGGTGTAACTCTAACTGGTTGTAGTATGGTTGTGTGGCTTTACCTGGTTGTAGCTAGGTTGTACGGCTTTACCTGGTTGTAGCTAGGTTGTGTAGCTTTACCTGATTGTAGCTTGGTTGTGTAGCTTTACCTGATTGTAGCTTGATTGTGTAGCTTTACCTGATTGTAGCTTAGTTGTGTAGCTTTACCTGGTTGTAGATTGGTTGTGTAGCTTTACCTGATTGTAGCTTGAGTGTAGCTTTACCTGGTTGTAGCTTTACCTGATTGTGGCTTGATTGTGTAGCTTTACCTGATTGTAGCTTGGTTGTGTAGCTTTACCTGATTGTAGGTTGATTGTGTAGCTTTACCTGATTGTAGCTTGGTTGTTTAGCTTTACCTAATTGTAGCTTGATTGTGTAGCTTTACCTGACTGTAGCTTGATTGTGTAGCTTTACCTGATTGTAGCTTGGTTGTGTAGCTTGACCTGATTGTAGCTTGATTGTGTAGCTCTACCTGGTTGTAGCTTGGTTGTGTAGCTCTACCTGATTGTAGCTTGGTTGTGTAGCTTTACCTGATTGTAGATTAGTTGTGTAGCTTTACCTGATTGTAGCTTGATTGTGTAGCTCTACCTCATTGTAGCTTGATTGTGTAGCTTTACCTGGTGGTAGGTTGATTGTGTAGCTTTACCTGGTTGTAGATTGGTTGTGTAGCTTTACCTGATGGTAGCTTGGTTGGGAAGCTTTACCTGGTTGTATCTTGACTGTGTAGCTTTACCTGATTGTAGCTTGGTTGGGTAACTTTACCTGATTGTAGCTTGATTGTGTAGCTTTACCTGATTGTAGCATGGTTGTGTAGCTTTACTTGGTTGTAGCATGGTTGTGTAGCTTTACCTGATTGTAGCTTGGTTGTGTAGCTTTACCTGATTGTAGTTGGTTGGGAAGCTTTACCTGATTGTAGCTTGGTTGGGTAGCATTACCTGATTGTAGCTTGGTTGTTTAGCTTTACCTGATTGTAGCTTGGTTGGGTAGCTTTACCTGGTTGTAGCTTGATTGTGTAGCTTTACCTAATTGTAGCTTAGATGTGTAGCTTTACCTGGTTGTAGCTTGGTTGTGTAGCTTTACCTTATTGTAGATTGGTTGTGTAGCTTTACCTGATTGTAGCTTGGTTGTGTAGCTTTACCTGATTTTGGCTTGGTTGGGTAGCTTTACCTGGTTGTAGATTGGTTGTGTAGCTTTACCTGATTGTAGCTTGGTTGTGTAGCTTTACCTGATTGTAGCTTGGTTAGGTAGCTTTACCTGGTTGTAGATTGGTTGTGTAGCTTTACCTGATTGTAGCTTGGTTGTGTTGCTTTACCTGGTTGTAGATTGGTTGTGTAGCTTTACCTGATTGTAGCGTGGTTGGATAGCTTTACCTGGTTGTAGCTTGATTGTGTAGCTTTGCCTGATTGTAGCTTGGTTGTGTAGCTCCACCTGATTGTAGCTTGGTTGTGTAGCTTTACCTGAATGTAGACTGGTTGTGTAGCTTTACCTGATTGTAGCTTGGTTGTGTAGCTCTACTTGATTGTAGTTTAATTGTGTAGCTTTACTTGATTTTAGCTTGATTGTGTAGCTCTACCTGATTTTAGCTTGATTGTGTAGCTCAACCTGAATGTAGACTGGTTGTTGTAGCTCTGCCTAGTTGTAGCCGTGTTGTGTAGCTTTACCTGATTGTAGCTTGGTTGTGTAGCTCTACTTGGTTGTGTAGCTCTACTTGGTTGTAGCTTGGTTTTGTAGCTCCACCTGAATGTAGACTGGTTGTTGTAGCTCTGCCTAGTTGTAGCTTGGTTGTGTATCTCTACCTGATTGTAGCTTTACTTGATTTTAGCTTGATTGTGTAGCTCTACCTGATTGTAGTTTGGCTGCATAGCTTTTCGTGAATGTAGCTTGGGTCTGTAGCTTTACCTTTATGTAGGTTGGTTGTGTAGCTTTACTTGATTGTAGCCTGATTGTGTAGCTCTACTTGATTGTAGCTTGGTTGTGTAGCTCCACCTGATTGTAGCTTAGTTGTGTAGCTCTACTTGATTGTAGATTGATTGTGTAACTTTACGTAAATGTAACTTGTAGCTTTACCTGATTGTAAGGACCAAGGGAAGGGTCACTGAAGAACATGACAATATTTCATCAGAGACAGAAAGATATTCAGTACATGTGGTGTTATGTCAGTGTTCAGTTTTTGTGATATTTGAAATTTTTATCTTGACTTATCCTTTACACTTTGGCCATACACCTGCATTCACTATAGTCTGGTTCAGACTCAATTATTTACAGACCAAAGCCATATAGCTTGAATACTGCTGAGTGCGGCATTAAACAACCAAACAACCAGCCATACTGAAAGTTGACATTTCCTTTTGCAATTACTGACCTATTTCCTTTCAAAATGACTTTAAATTTAGTTCTTCGGTGGTTAGTGGTTGGAATCAGAGATATGCTGGTTTTTTTCACTGTATTTTAAATGTTGTCATGATGCTCACACTTCTAAATGCATTTCTTGCTCTGCGCTGTTTACACAGAAAGTATTTGAATGTCTGTGCTGACAGCAGTATTTTTTCAGTGTCTGTTTTCCATGTTTGTTGACTCTGTGCCAGAAATCTTGTAACATTTATTACCTTAAAGTGTAGCCAACCAATTTGTTTTAATTGCGATAAGAACAAACCTATTTTCATTGTCTGACAATGACAGTTGTAATTTTTCTTGCATTCACAATAATTTTTCATATCTGACAACAACAAAGTTTAATTTTTCATGTTTGAAGATTACAAGCATCGTTTTCCATATCTGACTATCTCAAACTCTCACTCAAATCACAAACACCATTGTCAAGAGCTACCATATTTCTGTTCTGTTCCATGTCTTTGCCATGTCATTTTGCACATCTGACAATCTCAAATTCTCATGTTTCAAGTGTCTCAAACTCACACTTTACATATTTGACAATCACAAATAGCTGCCATTTTTCCTTTTCAAGTCTTTGCCTGGAGTACAGTTATGAAATCTAATGTGGTGAACTTAATAGGCATAAGAAGAGATACCGAGGATGCACTTGATATATATACCGGTAACTCAGTGACGTACTTGTATTTGCACACAATACAAACCAATCGGACATCTGGGGTTTGTGTGTCCTGGTCATCTTAGGTGCCGCGAATAGATGTGCAGTTGCATCCCAGGGCTACCAGAAACCTATGATCAATTGTTCGAATAATGGTTCACCCTAAATATGTTTCAAGATTGGTGGTTCTGAGCTAAAGGGTTTACCAAAGTGATATCACCTGATTCAGCATCATTTCATGCATTCTGCCCAAACCAATGAACGTCCTGTGATGTAACTGGAATACTGTTGAAGGTGACTCACTCACACTCTCAATCACTATTTGTCTTTTGGACAATATCATTCAAGTCACTTTGCTTTAGGAAGAGTTACCTCCCTTCCATCTGAACATTTATCAGAGTAACCTCCCCTAAAAGTGCCCTTGCATACACTGTGCCCTTAAAATTCAGCATTCCTGATGATAAGCTCTTGAACTGCCACCTCTCTTTAATAAGAGTTACCTCCCTTTCATATGAACTTTTATCAGAGTTACATCCCCTAAAAGTGCCCTTGCATACACTGTCTGGCTTTAAATCCAGCATTCCTGATGATAACCTCTTGAACTGCATCTTCACTTTAGTAAGGGTTACCTCCCTTTCATATGAACTTTTATCAGAGTTACATCCCCTAAAAGTGCCCTTGCATACTGTGACTGTCTGGCTTTAAATCCAGCTTTCCTGATGATAAACTCTTGAACTACATCTTCACTTTAGTAAGGGTTACCTCCCTTTCATTTGAATCAGAGTTTCCTACCCTGAAAGTGGCCTTGCATGCACTGTGCTTCCCTTCTGCCTGGGTTTAAATCCAGTATTCCACATGATAAAGGGCCATAAACTGCTTCTTGCAGGTTTGACTGGAGGCATAGCACCAGGAGGTCCACGTGTTTACCATGCACAGTTGTAATCTACCCATCCTCCTGGTCATCATCATCTTCATCATCGCTTACAGTAACTACATATCACTTTTTGTCCTGAGACCATGTTTCAAAATATGTTTGTGCATTCATTTAATATTCAAAGTTTAACATTTTGCCATCTAACCCACTAAACCACAGCATCTTCCACAAAAGTGGAAGTCAGACAACTGGTAGTCAAGAACACATACTTTGTGTACGCAGAAGCCCAGTGGCTTAGTGGGCTAGATGGCTGACTTTGTATACTGGCAAGGTGCCTGACTCTGAGAGTGTGGGTTCTATTCCCGGATGGGACTCAACTTCTCAAAAGTTCTAGAATCTGAACTTTACTGAGAAAGTTTGTGTGTCACTAGTACATATGTTAGTGATGTATCAATTAATGAAAACTATCGAACATTGATCGGAAGGTCCAAACAAACAAGACATCTGATGTAAGTTTCCATGATCAAACACAGGTGACTTTACCCACTGTCAACCCAGCAAAAGCTTTGTTGTTTCATCAAAAGGTTCATTAACTACTAAACATTCATTACAAAATGTAACGTCAGAACCATCAGAAGTTCAGAATGTATACAGGGGCGATTCCAGGATTTTGGAGAAGTGGGTGGGGTGGGGGTGCACATATATCACGAAGTTCAAAGGTTACAGAGAAATGCTCCCCTGGGAAAAAAATTTCAGGGGAGAAGGGGGAGTTATCCATAATATACATCAAAACATACCTGGTTTGCAAGGTTTGCTTTTCATCATGATCGTTCTTATAAAGCTAGATAGTGATTCAGAGTTAGTTTAGTTGCAGGGGTGTAGTGTTATTATTGCAGGTGTGTAGTGTTATTATTGCAGGTGTGTAGTGTTATTATTGCAGGTGTGTAGTGTAGATATTGCAGGTGTGTAGTGTTATTATTGCAGGTGTGTAGTGTTATTATTGCAGGGGTGTAGTGTAGATATTGCAGGTGTGTAGTGTTATTATTGCAGGTGTGTAGTGTAGATATTGCAGGTGTGGTATTATTATAGCAGGTGTGTAGTGTTATTATAACAGGTGTGTAGTGTAGATATTGCAGGTGTGGTATTATTATAGCAGGTGTGTAGTGTTATTATAACAGGTGTGTAGTGTTAGTTTTGCAGGTGTGTAGTGTTGTTATTGCAGGTGTGTGGTATTATTATTGTAGGCGTGTAGTGTTGTTATTGCAGGTGCTTGACATTGTTATCACAGGTGTGTAGTTATTATTGCAGGTACATAGCATTGATATTGCAGGTGTGTAGTGTAATTATTGCAGGTACATAGCATTGTTATTTAAGGTGTGTAGAGTTATTACTGCAGGTACATAGCATTGTTATTTAAGGTGTGTAGAGTTATTATTGTAGGTGCATGGCATTGTTATGTCAGGTGTGTAGAGTTATTACTGCAGGTGCATAGTATTGTTATTTCAGGTTGTAGTGTTATTATTGCAGGTACATAGCATTGTTATTTCATGTGTGTAGAGTTATTATTGCAGGTACATAGCATTGTTATTTCATGTGTGTAGAGTTATTATTGCAGGTACATAGCATTGTTATTTCATGTGTGTAGAGTTATTACTGCAGGTACATAGCATTGTTATTTCATGTGTGTAGAGTTATTATTGCAGGTACATGGCATTGTTATGTCAGGTGTGTAGAGTTATTATTGCAGGTACATGGCATTGTTATGTCAGGTGTGTAGAGTTATTATTGCAGGTGCATAGCATTGTTATTTCAGGTGTGTAGAGTTATTATTGCAGGTACATGGCATTGTTATGTCAGGTGTGTAGAGTTATTACTGCAGGTGCATAGCATTGTTATTTCATGTGTGTAGAGTTATTATTGCAGGTGCATAGCATTGTTATTTCAGATTGTAGTGTTATTATTGCAGGTACGTAGCATTGTTATTTCATGTGTGTAGAGTTATTACTGCAGGTACATAGCATTGTTATTTCAGGTGTGTTGTGTTATTATTGCATGTACATGGCATTGTTATGTCAGGTGTGTAGAGTTATTACTGCAGGTGCATAGCATTGTTATTTCAGGTGTGTAGAGTTATTACTGCAGGTACATAGCATTGTTATTTAAGGTGTGTAGTGTTATTATTGCAGGTGCATAGCATTGTTATTTCAGGTGTGTTGTGTTATTATTGCAGGTACGTAGCATTGTTATTTCATGTGTGTAGTGTTATTATTGCAGGTACGTAGCATTGTTATTTCAGGTGTGTAGAGTTATTATTGCAGGTACGTAGCATTGTTATTTCAGGTGTGTAGAGTTATTATTGCAGCTACGTAGCATTGTTATTTCAGGTGTTGTGTTATTATTGCAGGTACGTAGCATTGTTATTTCATGTGTGTAGTGTTATTATTGCAGGTACGTAGCATTGTTATTACAGGTACATGGCATTGCAGAATGCAGGAGTATACTGTTAATTTTGCAGGTGTGTGGTGTTGATATTGCAAGTGTTTTGTGTTATTTATACAGATGTGTTGTTTTGTTTTACATGTGTCTTCTGTTATTATTGCAGGTATTCAGGAGGGACGGGAAGGGCCTGGAGGACCTCCACGAGACAATCAGAATGTGCCCTGCTAGTGATCTTCTACCACAAGTTGTCAAATTGTTGGATACCTTTCATATTGTTGAATTCTTGTCAAATTGTTGGATACTTGTCAAATTGTTAGACACCTGTACAATTGTTAGACACCCGTACAGTTGTTAGATGCCTGTACAATTGTTAGACACCTGTACAATTATTAGACACCTGTACAGTTGTTAGACACCTGTGCAATTGTTAGACACCTGTACAGTTGTTAGACATCTTTACAGTTGTTAGACACCTGTGCAATTGTTAGAGACCTGTACAGTTGTTAGACATCTGTACAATTGTTAGACACCTGTGCACTTGTTAGACATCTGTACAGTTGTTAGACACCTGTGCAGTTGTTAGACACCTGTACAGTTGTTAGACACCTGTACAATTGTTAGACACCTGTACAATTGTTAGACACCTGTACAGTTGTTAGACACCTGTGCAGTTGTTAGACACATGTACAGTTGTTAGACACATGTACAATTGTTAGACACATGTACAATTGTTAGACACCTGTGCAATTGTTAGACATCTGTACAGTTGTTAGACACATGTACAATTGTTAGACACATGTGCAATTGTTAGACATCTGTACAGTTGTTAGACACCAGTACAGTTGTTAGACACCTGTACAATTCTTCGACACCAGTACAGTTGTTAGACACCTGTACAATTCTTAGACACCTGTCTAACTGTCAAATTGTTAGAAGCTGTCTAATATTTTGGAACCTGTCAAATGTGCTTACTTGTGACCTATTAGCACATAATTGCCAGATTGTTGGATACCTGTCAAATTATTAGATCTGTCGTGTCCTCACCATAATCGACCATAGTCGATGACATTTCGACTATTTCGCACCTGGTCGGTAACTTCTGTCACAGTGGCAACAAGGCTTCCGGAGTTGTCTCCCTTATACCATTGAAAGTAAAGTCTTAAGTGTCCATACACTACAAGATCCATGTAAACTTTTAAGAAAGCTGTTTAATTGTTGGACCGCTGTCATATTGTAAGACACTTGTCTACTGCTTAGAAAGCTGTCAAATTGTCATTAGCCGTCATATCACTGCAAAGGGTTCAAATGTTGTTGCCATCTACCTTTCATCTTGAAGTTGTACATAGTAAACTCACATATAGTTGTTAACCCATGATCCCCAGAAAGTAGTTAGAAACTATCGTCTGTAAAATATATTTTTTTGTTTCTGTCTCTTTCTTCATTCTGAGAGAAGACTGCAAATAGTGCCCTGTGAATAAGTACTTTTTGTTTGGAATATACCTCAAGTATTAGCTTCCTTTCCAGACTTCCATGTTCACTTTTATGTTGAGGTGCAACCATTAAAACTGAAGATGTTGTACACAGACATAACTGGGCCTTTGCCATCAGTATTATGTGTTTCTCAATTCCAAGTTCAGCTTGACAGATAGTCTGTCTCACAGTCCCTGAACCATAATAGTTTCCCTTCTGCCCTGCCATTTCCGAAATGCAAACGCCTTAAATAAAGAGAGTCAAGTTTTCACACAGGTCCTGAATTTGTCTGTCCATATTAGTTTCCCAACCAGCCATCCCTTTTTGTAAAGCAGAAGCTCTTAAAAAGGAAGTCTGGATGTTCCTCAGATTCTTGTGTACCCCAATGGGGCTCCTTTTTAATCAAAATGCAGATTTTGGTTTTGACAAAATTATATATTTTGGAGACTAAACGTTTGTCTACTGGACAGTGAGCAGGTGGAAAGAAACTAATATAATCAAGGAAAGGTTGAGAGACAAGTGCAGAGAATACACATGTAATATGGATAGCCTTATTGTGAAAAGGGGTGGTGGGGTAGCCTAGTAGTTAAAGCATTAGCTTGTCATGTCAAGGACCCCGGGTTCTATTCCCCACATGGGTACAATGTGTGACGCCCATTTCTGGTGTCAAGTGCGGTGATATTGCTGGAATATTGCTAAAAGCAGCGTAAAACCAAACTCACTCATCTAAACAATATTGTATGAGACAGTGAAAGTTAATCTAATTGACATTGGTCAACAGAATCAGAGACATGACCGGAGGAACATTCTCGCTTCCTTGATATGTATATTCATGCTTATAATGGTTGTCACCCCCTTCAATTTTTTAATTGGAGAGGGGGTGGGGTGGTTGGGGTGGGGAGGGGGATGACAACCATTATTGGCATGAGTATATCTCAGCATTATGTCATGAATTTACGGACACCCGTGTGAGTTTCACAGACACCTGGTGTCATTGATTTACAATGATCCCTTAATAATTTGTATAACTATGTATTTTACCTTTGATGTCCTATAATATCTATTATATATTATACTTGATTGTTGAGACTGATTTTTATCTGATGATGATGTTTTGTAAATAATGATTTCATATCGGAATGAGGGTGATAATCCTTGTTGGAATGTAAATGATCATTTTGTGATGCTGAATCTCACTGGCAGGCTCCGAAGCTGGCATCAGTAAGCTCCTTCTGCCGCAGTTGGGAACATAATCTCATTGATTCATAATACAATATCAGCTGCTTGGTGTATTAACTTGCTTGTCTGTCACGACGTGTTTGCCTCATGTATCGATACATATGCAGATACATGTACTTGAATCAAGATATGTATTTCTCAATATACTTTGCTGTTTTTAAGGAAGCCTCCATGCTCCACACACCACCACTGACAATGCATTTCTGTCAGCAAATTTGTTTGGTTTAAATGACTTGTTCATTTTGGCTTGTATATACGCGATATGCCTTTCAAATGTTTTGCAATATTGTTCTGAGGACTGGTTTATTGTATGAAGTTTTGTGATTATCTCAATATTTTTTAGGTCAAATCTACGGAGACTTTCATTCACAAATGATGTTTCTCCTTAATAATTAATTGACCAAACTGCAAACCTACATACTATGAATTGTATAAAAAAGAAAATATAATATTAGCTATCCGGTGATCAGAAAAAAAACTAACAGGAAAAAAAGAAACACTTTTTCAGTTGTTGTTTTTAATTTATTAACAAAGTATAACAAAACAATTACAAGCACATATTTTGCATCCATAAGCAATGTTCTCAGTTCTCGGTTCTAACTAAATGTTCTTATTGAGTCTAATGTTTTGACTCAGTAAAAACAAGTAAAAACAACTTAAATAAGATGATTAAAGCTCATCCTAATCCTAATTAGGTGTTTATATAAGTATTTATATATAAACTGTTACTTTTTTCCTGTTACTTTTTTTCCGTTACTTTTTTTCCTACATTCTGAACCAGTTACAGTTTGTGTTTGGCTTGAATGGCTTGTTCATTTTGGCTTGTATATACACAATGCGCTTTTCCAACGGTATATTTTGCTATATTTTTCTGAGAACTCATATGTGGGGTAAAAATATGTATGAAGTTTATATATATGTGATTATATCTATGGTGTTTTTTAAAATCTACCTTTATTCACAACTGATGTTTCTCTCTGTAATTAATTGACCAAAATACAGCATATTTTATCTTAGCATATAAAATCCTAACTATCTCACCTAAATTGAGATTGCTGTTATCAGAATCAAAACATATTTAGATATGTTTTAGGGCATTAATATGTAGAAAATAGGATCTACAAGTACTGGTACAATTAGTGTCAAACACTGTCAAACATTTAGCTTCCAATATATATCGTAATATGTATCACACTACAGGTAGCTGCATCACGATATTGCAGTGAAATATGTGTGCCAATACACAGCCCTTGTTCTAATGGTAAAGGTGTTCCTGGCTAAACTGTAACAGTGCCTGTAGTCATCACACAGACGACATCTTCACCTTGTCTGCTTTCTGGCACCGTTGTGTATGATGGTGTGACTTTGGATCAGGTCTGTGGTTGGGATGAATTAATGTTATGGCTGATCCTCTGTTCAGTTCTTCTCAAGGCCTTAAGTTTCACCCAAGAAGGTAATGTTTTAGGCCAGTTCACCCCCTTCTTAAGGCCACTTCTGTCTTAAGGCCAACCCTGCCTAAAGGCCACCCCATGTCTTAAGACCACACCCATCTAAGGTCAACCCAGTCTTACGGCCACGCCAGTCCATAGGATAATTATTGAGGTGTTATTGGACTATAATTATCAAGGTGTTAATTGAAGGATAATTATTGAGGTGTTAATTGGAGGATATCCTCGCTGGTTTTGTTAACACCTGGTGTCATGATCATGTGACTATCACTGTATTTCAAGATTCCATGTTTCTCTTTATGACAGATATGAATATGACACTGCCACAGCGATGCATGTAATGTGTAATGTATCTCTATTGTATATAACAAGTTTTATGGATAACAACTTCTTTATTTTAACGTGAGTCGCGACGTTTCGATACAGATTCTTGTACCGTTGTCAAGCAAGAGTGATACATGAAGTGTAGGAGCTGCATATATATACTGTATATAACAATGAAACAACATAATAGACAAAGGAAACAACATAATTGCCATGATTGGCTAAGCAGTAAGCTGATGAAGCCAGTAAGTACATAAAGGATAGTGAATGGAAGCCAGAGATGTAGTTACAATGAGGTGTTTATACAATGGATGCGATGTTTATACAATAGACTGGGCTTGGTGGAGGAGTGGATCATAAGCAGATGGAATGAAGTATCCTTGGTCACGGTTGATGGTAGGCTTGTGGCGTTTGATGTGAATGGCTTCTGTGAGCTTGCGTTTAGTGAAGTCCGTTTGGTTGTTGGCGAGAATGGTGATGTCGGACCACTCTATTTGATGATTGGGGTTGGCTTTGATGTGGTCAGAGATAGCTGATTTGGTGTCGGAATTAGCAACAGAGGTGCGATGTTCTTTGACTCGGGTGTTGATGGGTCGGGATGTTTCACCTATGTAGCATTGTCCACAATCACAGTCTATTTTGTAAATAACACATTTCGGGTTGTTGTTGTTGACGGTGGGTTGTTTTCTTCCGTTGGCATGGAGGAGGTTGTTGAGGCTGGAGGACGCTGAGAAGGTAGTGTCTATTCCTGCCTGTTGTTTCAGGAGTCGGCTGATTTGGTGTGATGGTTTACCAATGTAGGGAATGGAATGGACACAAAAATAAAGAAGTTGTTATCCATAAAACTTGTTATATATTGTACGTCTCAACTTCTAAAATGCCACTCAAACAAGGTATCTCTATTGTGTTTTTACAGCTGTTTTGTAAGAATCGTTCCAACACCTTAGTCAAATGGATAGATCTCGGAGAGCCGAAGAGCGGAAGATCGATGGCTGTGCTGAGGGTATAATACAAGGACTTGTCTGATCCAATTCAGTGTTTTAAGTAATCTAACAATAATTACAAAAGCATATGCATTGGAATTAAAATGCATATTTGTCAAGTGCAAAGCAGTGCAAGCGTGCATGTCTTGTCACCTTAGCGTAGGTGATAGCAGCGCCGTTTCAAGGAAGCTAACTCTATTCTACTGTAGATGTTATGTACCGGTACAAGGTGAAAAATGTGGTCAAAGGGAGGTAACTCTTTTCCTAACTCAAAATACATTTTATGACAAAATAACACATGGTCTCTCTCTCTCTCTCTCTCTCTCTCTCTCTCTCTCTCTCTCTCTCTCTCTCTCTCTCTCTCTCTCTCTCTCTCTCTCTCTCTCTCTCTCTCTCTCTCTCTCTCTCTCTCTCTCTCTCTCTCTCTCTCTCTCTTGCACACACACTACTAACACACAAACATATTCAAGCTTTAATTGTACCAAGTACTAGTTGATTGTCATTATGAAAGAATCAAATTAAGGTGAAGGGAAACAAATTTCATTTATTTCATCAATGCAGTTATTATAAGCTGTCAGTGATGGACAGTACAAACTATGACCAAATTAAAAGTGAAATATTTAGCCAGGAAACTGAATTATCAATTAATCAGACTGCAGGTCAAGTGTGTATGCAAGAACTGTGAGAAATGCAAAGTGTTTTTAATCATTACTTGGCATGGTAATTTAATAGAATCACAATGATTGTGAGATGTTGCTTTCTTTTTCAAATCTGTGTTCATCATTCTGAATCATAACAGTTACTGTTCAGTACTTTGCATTTATGTGAAAGAGTGTATGAATAAACCATGTCTCAATGTTAGAATGCATTTACTGCAGAATTTCAAACATTTTAAATAAATGTTTTGTTGGAAGTAAGATCATACATTCACATATTCTGAACATTTTAAATAAATGTTTTGTTGGAAGTAAGATCAAATGCTTTGTGTGTGTGTGTGTGTGTGTGTGTGTGTGTGTGTGTGTGTGTGTGTGTGTATCTTGAAAATGGAAAAAAGTTAAAAACAAAATAATTTTTTGTATTAAATTGTATTTTACATGCCATGTCAAGTTGAATTACCTGCCTTGGTGCTATTGTGAGGTCACTACATTGTCGTGACATCACATGGTGCATTAGTGGTTGTTTATGTGGCCTAAATAGGCTGTGTAAAAGCTTAAAGTACAAGCCGATCGATAAATAAATCTGCAGAAATCTGCAAGACTTGACTTGTTTGTTTTTCTTTGAACGCTTGGAAATTTGTCTTCATTTTTGTTAATTCAGCCTGGGTTGCCGTGGGGATCCGGGTTAGAATTGATCTTCAGTAACCCATGCTTGTAAGTGGCGACTAAACCCATGCTTGTCGTAGATCGATGCTCATGCTGTTGATCACTGGATTGTCTGGTCCAGACTCGATTATTTACAAACCGCCGCCATATTACTGGACTATTGCTAAAAGCGGGGTAAAACTAAACTCACTCACTCGTGATTCAGCCGAAGCAAAACGTATGGAAGCATGATGATGATTTGGAGATTTTACGTGCGCTTTAGGCATAATGTGTATATATTTCGCACATGACTTTCGAAACATAAATTTAATTCTCATCGTCGCGAGTTGTGGATAATTACATACAAATGACAGAAAACTGCCCTGGTAACGATGAAATACCGTTTAGTGGTGTTCACATTATTTTTAAAACGTGCATTGGCAGCCTTAACATTGGAGTGTTGGCAGTTAGGTTTAACCAGGGATAATCAACAGTTGGGGTAGGTCACTCTCTTGCTTTCTCTACCAGTTGTATCAGGGATAATCTCGTCCCTGGTTTAACAGCCTGTCAGTTATCCCTGTCGAGGATTTTCTATTTACAGTACTATGGCCCTCGTGCTTTAACTATAAGGTTTAGGGCAAAACAATACAGTTTGCTTTATGACACAACAGATGGAGATAAAGCAACCTGTATTTCTTCAAATTAAAAAACCCCGACAATGACAGAAAATAACCAGACTCCGAATCAGAATGAGCGTAAGCAGCAAAATAGCCGTGAAAAATATATGCATGAATCACTGAACATCATTGATGACGCCAAGCGTGCCCGAAGAAAAGATTACTCACAATATGCATCCTTTCACGAACACCTGCTCTCATTGCTATTGTATTGTGATTCATATTCACGTGTTTATGATCCAGTTGGAATTGTACAATAACATCTGATCTTTGGGGGTAGCCGAGTGGGTAAAGCGTTCGCTCGTCACGCGGAAGAACCAGGTTCGATTCTCCACATGGGTACAAAGCGTGAAACCCATTTCTGGTGTCCCCCGCCGTGTTATTGCTGGACTAATGCAAAAAGCTGCGTAAAACATACTCACTCACTCTTTTCTGTTCTGTTCTGTTCTGGTCTGGTCGTGTCACGAAACAAGATATATGTGATGTGTCACCTCTCTGGGAACTGGGGTTGTCACGGGACATGGGTGTTCTGTAGCAGCAGGATATTAACATGGAGTAAATGGACAAAGATTTACAAACATTTAAAGACATTATGTGTCATTGGAAAATGAAATTATCACAGACTAATGACAACGTTCCACTAACTTTAACCCGCCAAGGGTCACATTGATAAGGAGCCTCGGGCATAATGCGGGACTAGAGGGATTAACATAGGCACCTCAAAACATAAATTTCAGTCGTCAGGAATGATTGTACTCATTAGATCAAAATAACTGAACCTTCCTATGGTTTAGTGAAGAATGTCATACCTTAATATGAACCCCGGTAACAGAACTTATTTATATAACAAATGCCTTTTCAACTCTGGTGTAATCTTTCTTGTTTCTTTACAGCCTATCTTTTTTCCTATATAATACGGGCCAAGCACTACCCTGGGTGTCTGGCTCTGCATGTAACAGGGACTCAAAAATAAAATATTAATTACAAAAAGAAATAATCCGGGACCAGTTAAGCTTTCAGATCAAACGCGCAATGCGTTTATATGCGTTGGTCAAATCACGCCCGTGCCACATATACTTTCGTGGCATACTCGCAACTGGTCACCCAGTGTACTAGGGCGGATAACAGACCAAAATAGGCCGAATCGTTCACTTTGTGATACAAGCACCAAAATTGGCATGATCGCTCACCATGGGCTCCCTGTTCAGAAAATAACGTTGGCCAATCAAAAATCCAAGATGGCCGCCACTGGATATACAAAAATATAATCTTTTTCTTTTAACTATCATTTTTGGCAGATGTTTTTCACCCAGATGTCCACATTTATCTTCGAGGCTTCGTTCAAACTAAATTATACAATCCTAAGTTAAAAATAACCACTTCATCGTTAGTTGAAGTAAATGCAATTATCTGTGATTGCTGGAATAGGTATATGAGTGAGTGAGTTACGTTTTACGCCGAACTCAGCAGTATTCCAGCTATATGGCGGCAGTCTGTAAATAATCGAGTCTGGACCAGACAATCCACTGATCAACACCGTGAGCATCGATCTACACAATTAGCAATTACGATGACATGTGTCAACCAAGTCAACGAGTCGCCTCTTACGACAAGCATGGGTTACTGAAGATCAATTCTAACCCGGATTTTCACGGGTGGAATAGGTGTAAGATGCGGGTGGCAGTCACAAGTCATGCTATGGCTGTGTAATAAACTGTTTATTTACTCAGGTCTTGTGTTGTGTGGGGGTTGGCATAGTGGTACCTCTTTTCAAGCAGGGGCGGTGGGGTAGCCTAATGGTTAAAGCGTTGGCTCGTCACGCCGAAGACCAGGGTTCGAATCCCCACATGGGCACAATGTGTGAAGCCCATTTCTG